ATACTTTTCCAGAGTATTGAACTGAGTATTGATTTCAATAACTGCCCTTTTAGGCAGGCAGAAGGCAGCAGTTCAAAAATAACTCCATAACATCCTGGATTGCTAATCTACACCAATTTAATCCAGGCCAATCAGATTAGGACTTGTTCTCTCTTTCATTTGGCTTCATTAAAACGGCTGTTAGCATGCGGCTAACTGCTCCTTCATGGAACTCAGGAAAAAATCAGAAACTAAACGTTTTGCATCACCATGGAGAATCTATGCTCAGATTCTATAATCTGGGATTAAGATCTGATGGATGGAAAGGTTGATGAATCTTTTCAGCGTCTGGCTCTCCAATGCGCTGATGTGTTAGCTCCCTGTGTGACATCAGCGCTGCAGTGAATGCTGGGAGGTGTAGTTTGATCTCAGCGACCAACTTTGTTTGCATAAAATGTTGACTTAACTCCTAAACCTCTGTGTGATAAACTAAACCCTCTTCCTTTGAAACGTCTTGGCTCCTCCCATCATCCTCATCTTCCTCCTGGCTTATCACCTCAGCAACAACGACGACGAGGACCTGAGCCCCGAGCAGAAGATGGAGAGGGAGCGAGAGCGGCGGATGGCCAACAACGCTCGGGAGCGGCTGCGCGTCCGCGACATCAACGAGGCGTTCAAGGAACTGGGCCGGATGGTGCAGCTGCATCTGAAGAGCGACAAGCCGCAGACCAAGTTACTGATCCTGCACCAGGCGGTCGCCGTCATCCTCAGCCTGGAGCAGCAAGTCCGAGGTCAGCCTCCAGTCAGCCTGTTCACCGTCTGGGAGTCCTGCTGAGTCATCATGATTTTACATCCATAGACTAGATGAGTTAGAAAGGCCTGAATGTCAGCAGCAAAAACAGCATAAAACTTCAGCTAAAAATATTTAAAAAAACTTTAAATTGATAAAATATTTACTTTGATGTTTTTGTCAAACTGGACTCTGGTTGAGCTCCAGCAGGGGGCAGCAGATCTCCTGTTGATTGTTCTGCTTTCTTTCTTTGCAGAGAGGAACCTGAACCCCAAGGCAGCCTGCCTGAAGCGCCGCGAAGAGGAGAAGGTCACATCAGATGGGACCCCCCTCTCGCTGGCTGCCGCCCACCACGCCGCCGCCGCCGCCATGGGCGATGGACCAAACCCCATGGGACAAATGTAAACCGCAGCAAACTCTCCTCCCCCCTGAATGGTCAGAAGATTTCACTTCTGCACTAACCTGCTGCTGTCGTACGTTTGACTCAGATCAGGCCGACAACCAATCAGCTTCCAGAAACCATCCAGGATGGAAGGAAGGTCACATGACCAAAAATAACCATGTTCCTTTAATTTAGGAGATTTAGTGTTAATTACGGCTTTCCTTTAAAATCCCATTTTACAGATTTCACCGTCTATATCAGCGTTTCTATGGTTCCCATACAGAAAGCAGACGGTGAAATCTGCAAAGGAAAGAAATTCATAAAATTATCTTTCAAAGTAAAAAAAAATAAATAGCTAAATAAAATCTGAAAAAGAATGAAATTAAAAGTGGAACACATAATAATTTACTGTTGAATTCTTGAAACATTTTCTTTTCTTCCAGTAATATTAGAACCAGTTTCTAAATGTGGAAATTTTAACTTTTTTAAACGAGTAATTATTAAATCCACACGTAAACCTAGAGGCCAAAAGCTGAAGATGCCCTTAATTTATTTTATTTCCAGCTAAACACATAATCCTGTTTTCCTTTGATAGAAAACTTTGGACCAATTTGAAATGTTAAATTGAACCTGAATTAAATTTAAAATTATTTTACCAGTAAAAATGTTTTAACAGAACTAAACTGGAATGAAAAATGTAATATCTTTGTAATTAACCTTTGATAAGGTTCAGAAATGTTGAAGAAAGTGTTTCTGTTTGTGATGATGATGATGGTGATGATGGTGATGATGATGATGATGATGGTGATGATGATGATGATGATGACAGCAGGACCGTGGAGCGTCGCCACAGCCGTGGAAATGTTGCTTCACTGGATTTAGAACCGTTCTACCATACGGCAAACCCTTTGCTCATTTTATTACTGCGCCGTAACGCTGCTGTTTACATCTTATTGCCCCGCTGACCCAGCAGTCACGAACCGAAGGCTTAATGGCCGCTCTGACCCGGTTTCCATCTGTTCTCCAGGTCCAAGGTGCCGGAGTTCATCAGGATGATGAGTGACCACTTCCTCTGACGGCGTTTTCCACCCAAACCCGCCAAACAATCACAGTCGCTGTCACTCCAGCCCGACCAAGTAGTTCCTGTGGAAGTCAGAACCGCCGTCGCCTCCGACTCTCCTCATCGCCATCGTCGTCCTCTTCCTCTCCTCCTTCGGTCCAGAAAACGTGGAACTCAGAGTCGCATTTTGTGGCTTTTTGGTGTCTTTTTATCTCCAGCTGAAGCGAACTGGATGTTTCTGATGGGAGACGTTGGACCGGCTGCTGCAGACGGCAGCGGACTCGCTTCTCTGGAAACGCTTCATGTTTTATCAGCATTCCCAACACAAAAGGTTCTATATGGATAAATATAGTAAATTTACATATATATTATATGTGTTTAAGAAAAGAGAAAATGTATAAAAAGTTGGATTTGACGCAGGCAGCGAGGACGGTTGGGGTTAAGGAGGTCAGAACGGAGCAAAACATATCACACGCTGCGTTTAAATGCAGCGACCGAACGCAGAGATCGAATGCCTTCAAACGCCGTCTTTGAACGCAGCGACTGAACGCAGAGTTTGAACGCAGCGGTTGATTGCAGCGTTTAAACACAGCGACTGAACGCAGCGTTTAAACCCAGCAATCAAATGCAGCCTTTGAATACAGCGACTAAACGCAGAGTTTGAACGCAGCGTTTGATCGCAGCGAGCAAACACAGCGACTGAATGCAATGTTTAAACGCAGTGATCAAAAGCAGCGGTTGAACGCAGAGCTAGTTCGCAGCTTTTAAACGCAGCGATTGAACGCGGTGTTTGATTGCAGTTTGATCACAGCCGTCGAAACCAACAATCGAACACAGCGTTTGAACACAGAGCTAGTTCGTAGCTTTTAAAAGGAGCGAATGAAGGCTGCGATCGAACGCAGTCTTTGAACGCAGCGGTTGATTGCAGCGTTTAAACCCAGCAATCAAATGCAGCCTTTGAGCACAGCGACTAAACGCAGCG